CTCTGCACTGTCAGTGCAGAACCCGACGTGGGGCTCGAACTCACAAACCGTGAAATCATCACCTGAGCTGAAATCAAGAGTCGGACGCTTAACTGACCGAGTCCCCCAGGCGCCCCTGAAGTCAGAGCACATTTAGCCACCAGGGTTTGCCACAAGTGCTGGAATCCAGGGTCAGGGTGTCAGGGGTCCTGGAGTCCTGATCAGATGAGTCTCCTTCACGTCGGCAGAAGAGCTAGCTTTCCAACTATTTCTATCTTTTCCTTCCAAAAAAGAGAGCCCTGGAGAATGACTATCTGAGCTCCTGCTCTCTGCTCATCAACTCTCTTTTGGATCCTGGAGGGCTTAATAATCTTGGTGCCAACGTGCACCCTATTGAGGCCACCTGGCCATATTAGCACTTCCTAATCCTAACAGGCCCACTGGCTATGCACATTACACACGCATACGTGCACACACATAAACCAGAGTGACCAGTGTGCTCTTCCCTGGTCTCCAGCCCAATGTGCAGGTATGAGGGTGACTCCTGACAGAGTCCCATCAGAAATGGCAATCCCAGGCCACCTCAGTTTGTAACACTGACTTACGGGCGAGATTGCCTCGACTTACCAGTTCTGCATTCCCCTACTTATTCCATATTAATCAGTGGCCTCTTTCCCCACCTCATTTATACATTTGCTGAGGCCAAAGGAGCATAACATTTTTTTGGGGGGGGAGGGGGGTCAGGATATACTGCCACACTATCCTTTATCTTCCTGGAATAATCACAATGGAAAATAAAGACAGAGAAGGCATAGTTTTCAGTTATTCGAATGACTTTACCTCCTTTAGGTTTTTCTAAGTTGCATGTTTGGCTTAGCCAAGTCAGTGGTTTCTCAAACTATTAGCAACACAAGACGCTGCTGTTCCCCTCCCCCACCCCCCCACCCCCCAGAGAGAATCCAATACCTCCCAAGCATGTGGCCGTGCAAGGGGTGAAGCCAGCGTACTCCCAGTGGTAGGTCATCGTGCTGTCCTCCCGGGGAGAGGCGTCGGGCTGGCGGGAGGCAGGGCTCTCGTCGCAGGGGTCGAGGAGGCAGGGCCGCTCGGTGGGCAGCTGGGGGCCCTCGCACTCTTCCTCAGGCAGCTCGGTCTCCGTCTGCGTGAACGTCAGGAGCACACGGCACTTCACCTCCCGGACCTGGACGCCCGGCCCGCACGTGGTGCTGCAGGCCGACCAGGGCTCTGGGATGAACCTACAGAAGACCCAGGAGTCCCCGTTATACACCGGCCCCGCAGGAGCGACAGGCCTTCCCTTCAGGGAAGAGATAACTTCGCTCAGAGGGAATTCTGGTGCTCAACTAGGTCATGAACAAATTGTCCAATCTTATTAGCAACAGAAAGGATTTTTCACTGGAGATCTAGTGAACGTTTGCACCCATTTTATTTATTTGTTTGCTTATTTATTTACTTATTTAGAGAGCAGGGGTGGGGCAGAGAGAGAGAGAGAGAGAGAGAGAGACCCAAGTCTGACAGCGCAGAGCCCGATGCAGGGCTCAAACTCACAAATCATGAGATCATGACCTGAGCCGAAATCAAGAGTCAGACACTTAACTGACTGAACCACCCAGGTGCCCCAAAAGTTTGCCTCCATTTTAAAACTCAAATGCTGTGCTATCACCTTTGTATAACATCATTAAAATTAGGCTTTTCAAAAATTTGGTCATAAATAAACCATTATGTAGTGATAATTTCTAATCTGAGTTCTTTTATAATACGGAGAATTTTCATCAATATTTATTCAATGAATCTTTATCAGGCTTATCCTTTAACAGGTAGGACTTTATTAAACTCTCAATATTTAAGATAATATGTGTTTTCTGTAGGGTAGATGAAGCTTTCATATTCTGTCCTCAACTACACTACACTGAATTTCATCTTCTTGAAAATATCTTAGATACAATATGGCTGAATAAAGTATTTATTTCTGATTCTGAATTATTATCCACTAAATCAGAGGTTGTCAACCTATAGCCTACAGGTCAAGTCCAGCCCACCTGTTTCTCTACAGACTACAGAATGATTTTATAGTTTTAAATGGTTGGGGGTGGAAAAGAAGGGTAATATTTTCTGAGTGACACAACATTGAATTAAAGTATCCATAATTATAGTTTTATTGGAATATGGCCATGGTCACTTGCTCACTTCTTGTTCATGACTGCTTTTATGCTACATGGCAGAGCTGAGGATTTGCCACAGAGACTATTTGGCCCACAGAGCCTAAAATCTTTACTATCTGGGCCTTTGCAGAAGATGTTTACTGATTCCTGCACTGAATTGAAAAGCAGAGACTCAGCAGGGACATGCTTAGTTAAGTCATCCCGAAGCAACACTTGCATTGTGAGATATTCACAAGTGACAGGCAAGGAAGAGCCCAGCCAATGTAAGTTGGGGAAACCATGGGTGCAATAGTGCTCCACAGGTTTAATTACTGTAAAACTTTTCCAAAGACCACGATACATGAATGCATACTATAAATGCCTAAGAGGGGAATATGGCGTGCATCATTTCCTGAGTTAAAGTGAACGCAGATCTCTGTTCACAGGATAACGTACTAAGTCACTTCAGAAAACGGCTAAGATATAGTTCCAAGGGTTCATGTTCAAAAAAATCTCAGAACGGGTAGTAAGGGTCTCTCAGAGTCCTCCAACCTTCTCTCCCTGGACAAGACTTCATCACCTTGTCCACAATCCAATCAGCAGGAGGAAACACCGTTGGGATACATGAGCCCCGTAAAGAGCCATGCAAACAGTAAACCCTCCAAATTCTATTTACTGCATTGAAACCTTTTGGTGGAGAACTCCCTCCCCTACCCCAGGCCAGGAGAGGGCTCGCCCAACCTCCCAGCAGAGAGGAGTATTGGCATAATATTTGAACACGTTCTTTTCTCTCCTTGCTGTTTTCCCCGGTAGAACTGGAAAGAAAAAGCCTGATTAAATTTAAGACGAGGCACCGATACAATGTAATATACATACAACGTAATAACATGAGGTCAATTAAAAGAAGGAGGTGTGTCTGTTATTAATTCAGAAGGAATAGTCTCCTCTTGGAGAGAGTTAAATGAAGTAAGTGTGGGATGGCTCATATACTGGGATCTTTTGTCTAAATACACACAGAAAGGCATGCATATGTATATGTAGTGTATATGTTATTTAATTAAAACATTTATAGCACACATACCTGTATATGACTTACGTACAATGTACAATGTCTCTTTTCTGGAAGCGATCGATCGCACGTGCCAGTGTGTGGAGTGGGAGCTTCCACTTTCTGTTTATAGCTTTAAAAGTCTTGCATTTTCTAACCATGTGCATACTGTACTTTTTTTTT